TTTCCGTTAGCCAACAGGCGGGTCTCTCCTCCGAAAGCCGCCCATTTCTCACTCTGCTCTTAGTCTTCTGTAAGGAAGGCCCTTCTTCATAGTAAGTTGAGCTTTGTATCCTAGTATCTGACACCACTGGTTCCTGGATCATTATACTTAGAACAATATTCCAGGAGTGGATGGATGAAATTTATCATCATATTCTGGACAGTGTATCTATTAATGCAGACCAAGATCACATCACCTTTTTCTGGGGTCTTCCTCACTTGGCTCCCCGACCCTTGGGGACTGTAGCAGGCTCTGGCACTGTGAGCGAGTCAACAAAGGTCCACAGTAGAGGGGAAAGAAAGCTGTTCTTTGTGCCAGTCACATTTTTTACTTTAGAGTGGAAGGATATATTTATGCCCCAGTCTCCATGTTTCTACTCTACAGTACACACATTGCTTCCTATAAGTAATTATTTTAACTCTGGTTTAAAAATTACTGTCATTGGCAGCAGAGTAGGTGGAAACTACACTCACCTTCGCCCAAGACCAAACTGAAATTACAACTAAAATATAGAACAATCAACCTGAATAACCAACTGAAGGCTGGCTGAAAAGAAGTCTTATAACCAAGGGTTTACAGAAGAAGTCACATGGAGACTGGTAGGAAAGGCAGAGCCGCAAAAAGGACTGGCCTCGCTCCCAGGGGCAGTGGCTGAGATTTGGGGGTATCTCAGCTATGGGGTTTCCCTCTGAGAAGCATGGGGTCTCAACCCCATGCCAGGCTCCCCAGCCCAGAGCACCAGAGCCAGAAAGAGGTGCCCACATAACTTCTGGCTGTGAGAACTGGAGGGGATTCAATCCATCAGGGAGACACAGGAGTCAGCTAGAGACACAGGCGCCCTCTTAAAGGGCCAACACACAAAATCCTGTTTGTTGCCATTCACCCTGGGCTCCGGTGGAGGGACGAGAGTCACCTGAGGAGAGTGTGGGGTTTGTGGCTCTGGGGATAGAGCTGGGGAGACAGCCGCCAGGATCCCTGTGCTGAGTCACTCTCCCATGCTGCAGACACCATCTTTCTTGGGTGCAGCACTCCCCTCCTTACGGCATCAGTATGGGGGAAAGCAACAGCCCACACTCTGGATTCCCTGTCACCCCACCCTGCGGAGCCCAGTTAAGGAGTCAGCTGCCTGGGCTGGGGTGTAGAGGTCTGGACAGATTCAGGGGGTGTCAGTGGGCTGAGTTGTGTGGCTTTGGTGTGGGGGCCATTCTTCCCACTTTTTCTCAAACCAGACTGGCTCCTCCCCCTCACAGGAGATCTGTTAGTCCCACTCTCCTGACTCCTGGTGGCTCCACCCTGCCAACGTCTGGGCAGAATCTGGGATAGATTGAGTTGTGTGGCTCTGGGATAAGGGCCTACTTCCACCTCCCCCAAGCCTGACAAGAGATCCACTAGACCAGTGGTTCTCAACCTTTCTAATGCCACGACCCTTTAATACAGTTCCTCATGTTGTGGTGACCCCCAACCATAAAATTATTTTCGTTGCTACTTCATAACTGTAATTTTGCTACTGTTATGAATCGTAATGTAAATATCTGATATGCAGGATGTATTTTCATTGTTACAAATTGAACATAATTAAAGCATAGTGATTAATCACAAAAACAATATGTAATTATATATGTGTTTTCCGATGGTCTTAGGCGACCTCTGTGAAAGGGTCGTTCGACCCCCAAAGGGGTCGCGACCCACAGGTTGAGAACCGCTGCACTAGACCCTTCCTTCACAATCCAGGTGACCCCACCCTGCTGAGACTGGGTTCCTAGCAGAATCTAGGACAGGCTGAGTTGTGTGGCTCTAGAATTGGGGCCATTTTTCCCTTGCAGAGCCCTCCCTTCACATAACCAAATCTTGGTCTGTCTGGGCCTCATAAACTCTGCTGGCCTCACTTGAACAATTCCCTGAGGTCCTGCCCCACCACAAAAGTGTGTGAGCACCCAGTGGGTGGCAGCTAGACTTGGTGTACCCTAGGACATTTGCTGAGTGACCTCAGACCCAGCACTGGCACCGAGTCTGAACCTGTATCTGGTGAACACCACTTGCCCCTACCTGGTGACTCACTGAGACTCTACCTTATGCAACTCAAGTACTGCCAGAGGCTCTTTCAGTGACTGAGCCTAACAGGCAGCCAGCAGCTGGAAGCAGGCGGAAGGGCATCTCAGGGTGTTTTGGAACTTTAGCTGACCTGCCCCCAGGCCCGTTGCTGGTAAAAGCCCGTCATAGTGTGCAGGGTGGTCCTTCCTGAGCACATTGAGGCCCAGCAGAGGCAGCCACAAACTGCGGATCGCTTTGCAACTCCGAACAAGTGGTTAGGGCCAGTCACAGGCAGCATCTGACATTGCCTACACCAGATGTCCTTCCAAAAGGCCCCAGAGCCAGCATACCCAATGGCCATCTTCAGACAACATTGGAGCAGGATCCAATTAGCTTCCAAAGGGAGATCTTGGTAGGCACCACACCCTGCTGAGGAGAATTCTGTTTCGTGTGGTCAGCACCTGCACAGTAGCTCTTACACTGTGGTTGGGGTCAACCCTCACAGTCAGCCAGCATGAGGGTCGACCCCACACACAAATGGGCCAATAGCAGTCAAGGCTCAATAAAAACAGGAGGGCCCACATAACCCACATAAGGGACATTCCTGGAGCACCCAGATCAGGTGATCAAGAGAACTGTGCCACTGGATTCCACAGGACACCTACTATTTAAGGCCACTTTACCAAGACTGGGAGTCATAGCATGCTGTAAACCAATTCCAGCATGTCATAATTTCAAGAGTTCCATCAAAAGGTTGATGAAACTTGGGGACTCAACAGGGTTGAGTCACACATGTAGTCACCTGTTGGGAATGGCTAAAGGCATTTCCCCAAACCTGAATAGGAAACTGATTGTGGCTGCCAGACAGTTAAAGGGCATCTTAATCTACATGTTATTGCCTTCTACTGGCCAAACACCTGAACAGCCGTAGGCTATTCCCCAAACTGACAATGTTTCTGTACCCTTTGAAACCTTACCCTTTGAAGTGTATTATCTCCACCTTGCCTTAGGACAAATTGTGTTAATAAAAGCAAGGGTCCTAGACAAGAAGGGAGTCTTAAGTTCCTTTAGCTGAAGGTCCTCTGACCCCCAATGAGTTTCAAAATTATATCTCATCTCCAGACTCTTTATTAGTCTCTGGATTTCTATGTCATCTACGCACAGCCTTTTCCGGATTCCTGAACGCTTCTTGATGCTGGGACAAGAACCCCAGCAATAGCAGATCTTCCTAATACATAGAAACAAGCATAAAGAGACAGCCAAAATGGGGAGACAAAGAAATGTGCTCCAAATGAAAGAACTGGAGAAATCTCCAGAAAAAGACCTAAATGAAATGGAGGCAAGCAATTTATCAGATATAGAGTTCAAAAAAAAAAGATTATAAGGATGTTCAACTTGAAAGCTCAGAAATAGGGAGCTCAAAAATAAACTCACACCTCTGTAGTCAAGTAATATTTGGCAAAGGAGACAAAAATATACAACGGGGTAAAGATAGTCTATTCAATAAATGGTGTTGGAAAATTGGATAGCTTTGTTAAAAAAAGAAAAACTAGACCACCTTATTATACCATACACAAGAATAAACTCAAAATGGATTAAAGAATTAAATGTCAGAATTGAAACCATAAAAATCCTAGAAGAAAATATAGGCAGTAAAATCTCGGACATTTCTCATGGCAATATATTTTTCTGATCTATTTCCTCAGGCAAGGGAAACAAAAGAAAAAATAAACAAATGGGACTACATCAAACTAAAAAGTTTTTACACAGCAAAGGAAACCATCAACAAAATGAAAAGACAACCCACTGAATGGATGAACAAATTCACCAATAAGGGGTTAATATCCAAAATTTATAAAGAACTTATGTAACGCAACACCAAAGAAAATAAACAATCTAATTTAAAAATGAGCAAAGGACCTAAATAGACCAAAGAGGACATACAGATGGCCAATGGACATGTGAAAAGATGCTCAACATCACTAATCATCAGAGAAATGCAAATTACAACCACAATGATATATCACCTCACACCTGTCATAATGGTTATCATCAATAAATCAACAAACAGCAAGTGTTGGTGAGGATGTAGATAAAAGGAAACCCTCATGCACTGTTGGTGGGAATGCAGATTGGTGCAGCCACTGTGAAAAGCAGTATGGAGTTACCTCAAAAAATTAAAAATGGTGGAACTTTCCAGAACGCTCGGTGAGAGGTGGAGGAGCGGCGGCTGCCTGAGCTGCGCGCAGGAACGCGCTCTTTCCAGCTCCTCCACACCTGCCCGGGCCTGCTCACCGGCTGTCAAAAATGGTGAAAGAAACCACTTACTATGATGTTTTGGGGGTCAAGCCCAATGCCACCCAGCCATCATTTGAGGTGAATCCTCAGGAGGTTTTTCTGGAGAGTATCCTGTTATTAATATGGATTGGAAAAGGAAAAAAAGTCTAAACACCAAAGGAGGAAATGGGCTGTTACTAAATATAAAAGATTGTGTTCATAATGTTCCAAGCACTATGTTACTTAATTTATGTACGTCAGTAAATTTTATAGAGCCCATAATCCAGGGCCAGCTGAGGTCTGTTCATATTATACTATAATCTCCCTAATGTATGTTTGCTTTTTTTTTAAAGCCTCACTGTTACTAGAATTTTTTCTTCTCTATGTGAGCAACTAAATTTAAAATTAGGTGATGGGACAATTCAGGGATGGTAAATGGTAGAGACTACCTAGAGTGTGGGTAAGGATTCCGAAGTGTTGTCCAGGAAATGGGCCTGTCAGGTTCCATATATTTGCTGCTCCTGGTTCTCAGCTCTGTTTTTAGAATGGGGAAGAAAGGACACCTTTGTAAAAGATACCTTGCTCTTATTAAGAAAACAATTGCCTGCTGTGGTACTTATAATAATTGGTGATTTGAAAGATCTAAGTATGTGCTAAATTTATATTAATACAGACGAGGAGAAGACCTTTTCATGTGTATGGACATACAGCTGGTTGAAGCTTTGTGTGGCTTCCAAAAGCCAATAGCTACTCTTGACAACCGAACCATAGTCATCACCTCTCATCCAGGTCAGATTGTCAAGCATGGAGATATCAAGTGTGTATTAAATAAAGGCATGCCAGTTTATCACAGACCATATGAAAAGGGTCGCCTAATCATCGAATTTAAGGTAAACTTTCCTGAGAATGGCTTTCTCTCTCCTGATAAACTCTCTTTGCTGGAAAAACTCCTACCTGAAAGGAAGGAAGTAGAAGAGACTGATGAAATGGACCAGGTAGAACTGGTGGACTTTGATCCAAATCAAGAAAGACGGCGCCATTACAATGGAGAAGCATACGAGGATGATGAACATCATCCTAGGGGTGGTGTTCAGTGTCAGACCTCTTAATGGGGCCAGTGAATAACACTCACTGCTGGCATTTTATATACAGTAGTGAATGAGTGAAGGACTGTAACCATAATATGCTCACTACTTGCTATTGTTTTTGTTTTAATATTCAAGTATAGTAGTGTTTTAAAAGTTAAATGAAGAATAAACTCAAATATAAAAGCTCTGACTTTGCCCTATATGTATGATGACTTGTGTGCAAGATAAGTTTAATACCTGTAAAAAAATTCCCCTAGCATTTGCTAGGCCATACTTTGTAATTAATTTCAGCTATGTACATGGAATAGCTTAGACTGAAATACTAGATATATGTATTGACTTTGGTGTGTGACCCTTAATTGTTAAGCTATGAAGTTACAATTCTGTATTTAACTGACAATCAGACAAAGAACTGAATTTGTAGAGAAGTGTTAGTTTGTGTAGTTGTATTAAGTGATGCCTCTGCATTTATTCTGTTGCCTCAACTGTTACTTGAAGGTGGCATGCCATATAATTTAACCTGTGGTATCAGTGATAGAAATGATACCTTTCCAAAGAAGGGGTTTATCATAATCTGCTTCTTGAGGGCTTGCACTTATAGAATTGCATTCCCTTCTGTTGTGCCATCTTTTTATTATTATTATATATCAGTCCTTGGTTACATTTTTTCCCCCTTCTCTTTGGACCATAAGCCTTAGAGTAGTGACTTCTGGAATAGGCTAACTTAGAAGTTGAGTGATGAAACCTTTACATGGAGAAGTAATTTGCATGTATGAGACAGGAAGGTGTGTTTTAGGTATGTTACCGGCTTACTTTAAACCATTTAACTTATGCTCCAAAGTAACTGTAATTTAATGTTGGTAGTATAGCAAATTATGAATAGCTTTAATTGTATGTTTAAAGTCAT